TAGGGAAATGGCTCCTCCATGAGCTAGCTACTTCCTCTTGTGGTAGTGACAGTCTGCGTTGTCTTGTCCACCGAGTTTCCATTTGCTGCTATTGCTAAACCCAACTCAAATCATATTTCATAATTGATATTACCCCTTCCCCTTTCTTTTTTCCATCCAATAATTCCCCCTTAATGGCTACCCTCCCACAATGCTAACCCTCTCCGTGCCCAAAGCGCCACGCACAAACTGAAAGCACCACAACCAGAAGCTGAAGCAGAGCGAGCGAGCGAGTTCACATGGGATTGGGAACAACCGCGGCGAGAAGCAGGAGGAGAATAATCATCACCATCACCCAAGCTTCCGCTTCCGCTTCCGCTCCCACCGCACACAACGGAGATGGAGGAGCATCGCGTCGCCGCAGCGGAACGATCCTTCCAGACGTGCTACTCCGGCGAGGCGCGCCACGCCCTCGACCTCCTCCCTGACTGCTTCACCATCACCGACCCCTCCCTCCCCGGCCACCCCATCGTCTTCGCCAGCCCCGCCTTCCTCAAGCTCACCGGCTACACGCGCCGCGAGGTCCTCGGCCGCACCGCCGCCCTTTTCCAGGGCCCCCACACTTCCCGCGCCTCCCTCCTCCAAATCCGCGAAGCCGTCAGAGCCGAACGAACCGCGCAACTCGTTTTGCTCAATTACCGCAAAGACGGCACGCCCTTTTGGATGCTCTTCCGCGTCTCCCCCGTCTTCGGCCACCTCTCCGGCGCCGTCGTCCACTTCCTCGCCGTCCAGGTCCCCCTCCTCCGCCACCACGCCTCCTCCCCCGTCCGCGACTTCGCCTTCCGCTGCTGCCGCAAGGAAGTCTGCGCCGACTCCTTATCCGAACTCAATCGCGTTTCTTCCTTCGACCAAGTGCTCGAAGATCGTGATGTCAGAGGTGCACCATAAATAAACAATCTTTCAATTATAAATGAAACATCTTCATAAATTGAAATTATTTTATACAAGTTAATTTGAAGAAGCTCTTTAGTAACTTCTTTAATTTTTTTCTTCTTCTGTTTTTCTCTTTCGTAAGTGTTTGTGAAGAAGCTTATCTTATTCGGGACTGGAGATAAATGAATTAAAAAAGAAAAGGGTTAAATGTTGAATGCATTTTATATTGGATGGCTTTATTTGTGAGATGCAGAGGTGGAGAGAGAAGAGCCGTGTGAGGCGAATGAGGAGGAGAAGCGGAGTGCGGTTACTGCCATGGAGAATGTCTTTTCTGTGCTGACCCATTACAGTGAGGTCACGGGGAGATTGGTGTGCAGTAAGAGGTGCAGCACTCCTGACGTGGGTCTTTTAAGCACTTCCTTGATTATTTCTCTTGGTAGAATCAAACAAAGCTTTGTATTGTGAGTTTTTGGAAATGTCTGGTTTTTGTTATTACTTTTCTTATCTCATGCTTTCTGCTTTTTGGAGAGGCTTAATTTGTTGGCTGTTTGTTATTGAGTTGAGTTTCTTTGCAGAACTAATCCGCGGTTACCGGACATGCCTATTGTTTATGCTAGTGATGCCTTCTTGAAATTGACAGGTTCTAAAACCATTAGTTACCTTGTATATATTTGTTTGGTTAAACTTCTCAGTAAGTACTTGTAGGTGACAAAAAATAAGAAGGTAAAATTCTCTCGCGAATTAAAATCAACTTATGCACTTCAATTTGTATACCCTCATCTAACTTCTTTAGAAGCTTAGGTGTATGAGTTGATTTGAGCTTGCAAGAGAAGTTTGATTCATTTTGTCTAAGCTAGGCCTTAATAAGAGCCTCATGGTCATTTATAGCTAAATTCTGGCATCTCATGTAAGGATACGAAGCCTAGTATCTCAGATTTACTATGTTGTCAATTGTCATGTTACTTGAATAGGTTATGGAAGAGATGAAGTTTTGGGGCGCAACTGTAGATTTTTAGGTGGAACTGATACTGATACCTCGACTTTACATCTGGTAATACACTTTTCTTGCCATAGTTTTTTGATGCTGTCTTGCAATTTAGCAACTTCTAGTCTTCAGACCGATGGGGATGGGCCATGTGGTTATGCCATTTACTTATTGCTTACAGATAAGGGAAAACATAAGAACTGAACAACCATGCACAGTACGTATTTTGAATTACAGGTTAATACTTCACTTTTTTTTCTGCTGCATAAGCTGTGAAGTTTATTTACTGAATATGCTGACTTAGTTTTCTGCATCACTAACAGGAAGGACAAAAGCTCATTTTGGAATTTTCTTCATATCTCACCCGTTCGTGATGGTTCTGGGAAGGTAATCTTGACAAACTATTTATTAGCTGAAGTATAAATCTTAAATCCCTGTTTTTCATTTTCTGTCAGTCATTTGTTTTTCCTCAGTCTGATTGGGGGCAGCAGAGAGAATTTTAACACAGTCAAACATGAATACGGTCTTTTTATTGGCAACTAGATGACAGCTACTTTTTTGCTGCTTTGACAGTACCAATTTTATTTTATTTTATTTTTGTTGGATCAAGTATACCCTTTATGATTCTAAACTCTGAAATTTCTCATTCCTTTTGCATAACTAGTGCTTTGCTGGTCTGGAAAATCATTTTCTGTTAGTTGGATCGGGGAAGCAGAATGTTCATAGTTGATGTTGTGTGCTTCTTATCATTTTGTTGTCGTAGTAACTAGGATTTCTGGCTAGGCTGTTAAGAAGGTAATCGTTCATATAGAACAAAACTGATACTATTTGGTTGCTTTTTGCCAGTTCTCACTAATCTTATTTGCACCCACCCTCCAAAAATGTTACAAGGTATTCAATATTGGTTCATTGGAAATTTCTCTATTGTAAATCATCAAGTACCAACCTTTGACTTTATTGATTGATATAATCTGAATGGCTAAAGTCTTGTGAAGAGTAGTAGCTGAAAGTAGTTGATGGCTTAATAAATATTCGCAATTCTGTCTTGGTTATTTGGATAATTTTTCTGGTCCATTTTTGTGCTTGGTAACAATTTCACATGCGAAAATGTGGTCTTTTGCTAACCTATTTGATACCTGGATTTTTCCACATAACCCTTTTTGTTCTGTGGCTAAAAGGATGAAAACTTCAGGTCTAGCCTCCCTGTTCAATCTATTCTGCGAAGAATTTACTGACTAATCCAGGCTTTTTATTTGAGCTACCAAATATCAATTATTTAATTGGGTGGATTTGTTTTCCTATGAATTCAATTCACACTTCTAATCAGCAAGGGCCTTTGCTGATTTAAGTTGGTCACGGATCCATTACATGCACTTTGGGAAGAGACGCTTTCAGGTTCATATGTGGGTTTTATGCATCCTCTGATAGTTCTCCTTCACATTTACGTGCCTTGAATTTGATGATTTATTACCCAGTTCTATTCTACTTCTATACAAGCTAAACTGGGAATCCTTGTGCAAAATGATGACCAACATATTCTGGTCCTTTTTTAATGGTGAAATTTTTGGTGAAAGTAGTGTCGAGGACCAAGCTCTATTAATCATACCAATGGTTACTGAGTTCTATGTTTATTCAGGTTGCATACTTTGTGGGAGTTCAAATAGAAGACGACTATAAAAACGAGGATGGCCAGTGTTTGAGTCCTGAGAAGAGGCAGCTTAGCGTTGTTGGTGTAGTCAAGGTTGCAGTGAGGAGTTTATCAATGTCTGCGGGATCTTCGAAGTCTTAGTCAAAAGGATCACGTGAATTCTTTCCATATAATATGCCTACTTCCCAAAAATATAATCTATTCCGAAAAAATGATCAATCTCAACTGGTGATTGTTGAGATGATAGAAAGGTCAAAAACTAATTTGTGAACAAAAAGAAATCCGCATTCTCAATTGTAAGAAAACAATCTGCATTGAAAGTCTATAAATAAAATGTGTTATATTTTCAAGGACTGATTTGAAAGGAACTTCAATTTCCCTAATGTAGCAATAAAAATTGACTTCTACTAGTTTCACCTTATCTTTTAAACTTTTGAGGCACTGTGACCGTCTTTTTCTCCCTTGATAAAATAGACACGGCACATGCAGTGACCCTTATATAATATTGTTAATATTGCCATATTTCAGTATTTCCATTAAAGAAAAGAACGCAATGGCAGCCTTTATTGCAATTCGTAGATAAAGACTTGATGCGGATAGTTCGTATGAATACACATTTAGTTGAATTCCAATCCTTCTATTAATGGATCAGAACCTTGATAATACGAAATTATAAGGACTAAAACCTTAATTATTAACAATTAGAGGAACTAAATCCATGTTAAAGTTTTTCAAGCTATAATTTATCGATTTTATATTTAATTTATTTCATACTTAAAATACTTAACGATTAAACATGTGTTATTTAATCTTAAAAATAAATTGATTCTAAGGTACAGTTTTATTTTATAACCTTTTTTAAGAAGTTATTATATTTAATTTCAAAATTACTGAACAATTTCCTCTGAAAAACAATAATTGTTTCCGAGAGTTTTTAAAGTAAGTTTTATTTTTCCTTCTAAAAACCAATCAAATCCAGCAAATACAATAAATTAATAAAATAACACATAAACTTATACTTACGTCATCAACTCGTCATTGAGTTCATCCTCTATCTTTTTACCCCTTCTTAATGCCTTTAATCATATATTTATAATAAAATAATGTAGTTAATAAATAACTTCGCCTGTTATTGATTAGTTAGAATAATTTGAGATTATTTAGTACCGCATTAATTTCGTGGGCCGTCATTATATTAAACTCATTATCTATACTATAGCCTCTCTATTAAAAATAAAATAAAATATAATGAATAGTTATTTGAAGAAAAAAAAAGTTTAGAAACTCAATATCGTAAAAAAAAAAAGAATAAATAAATAAATAAATAATAAAAAATAATTTAGAAATAATTATAAAAATAAATTAATCCAAAATTTATCTACACTAAAATGAGATATCCTCTATTAATAGTATCTATAATTTACGTAATACACTAAAATGTGATATTCCTTTATTAATATCATAAATAATCGATATGATGAGGATTTTCTTTTTGTACTTGTGTATAAAAATCCAAATCGAAATCAAAGGTATTATGTAGTTTTTTTTATTAAAAAATTAATTTTAAATATATTTTACATTAAAAATAGAAAAGTGGGGGGTAAAATAAGATTCACCGATACTCATGGATAAGTTAATTAGAATAGAAAATTCCCAACGAATTGGGAAATTAAAAAAAAAATGTACAGCATAGACAAAAAAGAATGGTGCCTAAGTCTAAAGTCTAAACCAGAGTCACCCCTTTGCTGTACATTACATATCCACATGCATGAACGACTGAATCATTCCAAACCTCACTTCACCTGAACCCACACCGCAGCGCTGGGAACTCCCGCATGCACAATAAAAAGCATATAGTACCCAGGCGGCGCCACCGCCAGCGAGGGCGGCCCACGCGCCACCACCCGGTACCCAAACTCCGCCACCTCCTTCACCCCCACCACATCCAGCACCACCACCCTCTGGTTCATCGCAAACGAGTGCGTCGTGAACGACGGCGCCACAAGCGTCACAGCCACCCCTCCCAGCCACTCCCTCAACGAAAACGTCACCGCAAAAACCCTCCCATACGGCGCCGTATCGTTCACTGCCACAATGGATGGCCGCCACGCCTCCGCCTCCGCCCCCAAATACTCCGGGCAATACGCGTCCAAACTCAACTCGGTAGGGTAATACGCGCGAAAGTGATACAACCTGTGAGGGTTGCTCCCACCCACTAAAATCCTGCCATCTGGCAGAAGCACAGAAGACGAATGATACATCCGCGGAGTACTCGCCGGAGACAGCATCTCGAAGCTCCTCAAACCGGGTTTATACAAAACCGGATAGAAAACCGGGTTCACCGCATTCTCCCAGCCTGCGGTCCCATTCATGGCACCGTTTAAAATAACAACATTCCCAGTCGGAAGCAAAATCATATCCGGCATGACACGTGGCATGGGCATGTTCTCCATGACCCATTTAGGGTTAGCGTCGAACACTCTCAGCCTCCCGCACGTTCTGGAAGCTTCTAGAAATATTTTGAGCTTGTTGGCCAAGGTGAAAGCACCGGGGTAAGCCCCGCCGCAGATCATGATTTCTGCAACCGGTAAACGCGTTCCGTTAAGGGCCGTTAGGTTTAACGGGAGGAGAACGGAGGAGGCGGTGCTGGGGTAGTTCCGCTTTTCTCGTCCGGGGAGGAGAGGGAAGGTTCTGAGGACTTTGTTGCGGGTGTAGTCGAAGAGGATGGAGTTGCGGTTGGCGAAGATGAAGAGGTTGGCGTCGGGGAGGAGGTGCAAGAAGGGGTAAAGATTGTTCTCCTCGCCGCGGATGGGGTCGCGGGTGAGTTTCAGGAAGGGGAGAAAGTAGAAGGGCTTGTCGGTTTTGGCCTTGGGGATGAACTCGTAGGTGAAGGAGTTGCGGCCACCCACGATGATGATTTTGCCGTCGGGGAGGATCTGGTTGGAGGCGTACCACCGGCTGGTCGAGAGGTTGTGGGAGGTGTGTTCGCGCCAGTCGCAGGTGTCGTGGTGGGGGCAGGGGGTGAAGGAGCGGAGGCGGGTGTAGCCGTCGTTGAAGCCTCCGGTCTGGAGGAGCGTGCCGTCGGGGGTGAGGGCGCCGGAGGAGCACCAGGCGTCGGTGTGGAGCGTGAGGGGCCGGAGGGTGTTGGCGGCGGGGTCGTAGAGCACCGAGTGCGCGGTGCAGTCCAGTTTTAGGGCCATGTCGCGCGGGTTGTAGCGGCAGCGACCGTTCGAGAGGGAGATGTTGGAGGGGCCGAAGTCCGTGCGGTCGAAGATCACCACCTTGTTGTCGAACATTACCTGCATGTGCATGGCGGAGATGCCTATGCTGCGTTGCACCTCCACCCAGTGTCCCCCCTTTGTGCTTCTTGTCGATGAAAATATACCAAAGCTGAGGATGACGAACAAGAAAGATGTGCCGTTCTTGATCTTGAACGCCATCGTGCCTGCTTTCATTTGCTCTTTTCTCAATGCCAGAGAATTTATTCTACTATTATGTAACTACTATACATGTATATATATATATAGTAGAACCAGTGAAGACCACATAGTAGAACTATCATGTATATTTAGTCGAGTCTTCCTTCTTAACTACACTTTTTATATTTAAGATTCGAATGCAAGATTTTATTTAAGGAGATTAAGTTTAATATTATTATAATCATATTAGTTTCATAAATTATCTTCATTTATATAGTCACGTTGACGCATTATTATTATCCCGGCCTTTGCCCCCTTTTTTTTCTTTTTTTTTTCTTTTTAGTATCGCTCTCAACAGAAATGGGTTTATGTTAGACTAGTGTAGAGATGAATTTATTGTGGATATGGTGGTTTGTTGTGGAGTAATAAAGAAAGGAGAGAAAGAGGGATGCAGCTCAGCTCGCGAGAAGAGGGGGCCCCTTCGAGGGTTTTTGGGCGGACACATATATAATCACTTGCAAATTGTTTGTTCGGAAAAATACAAGAGTAACAAAATAAGAACTCACAGTTAAAACTTAAAAGATGAGAAAAGAAAAACCCAAAGAAAGAATGGACAACTAAATTTACCCTCAAAATCACAACTAAATTTTAATTTGTTTGACTATCTGAATCTTTTTGTTTATTTATTTTTGGAATGAGTGATTATTTATTGAGTGAGTTAATTAATAAAAGGATGATGAAATTATTAGTTTAAATAATTTAACACTTGTAATTTTTTAAAAGACTAATATTTAATTTTAAATTTAAATATAAAATGGGTAATGAAAGGTATTACTTTACACTTATAATAGAAAGAAATTATATATGCTTATAAAAAAGAATGTGTGAAATAAAGGAGCAAGCGGCATATACGAATGTAGTTACGAGTTGCAAAGTGAAATGGTGATTTGTTAGAGATTGAATGTGTGGGGTTATGTGCCATATGGCTAGCGGGACACAGCAACAGTATGTGCATGTTGGTTATTACTTATTAGAAAGGTCATGTCTCAGACTGAATGAGACCTTTTCGTGTTTTGCGGCAATTCACACATTTCAATTGGGAATATTGACGGTGGTGTCTGTCAACTTTATGAACCATCATCATACATTGACCTGCATCAACCAATTTTGCCTATCAGATACCAGTACTCATTAGTTATCACCTTATTCATTATAGTTAAAAAGAAATAGTTAATTTTTTTTTTTAATATTAATAAGACTTTTAGATAATTATTTATTAGATAAAGAAAATGAATTTTGTTAATTAATATTTATAAAAATTAATATAAGAAATATTTTAAATTAATTCTTATAAAAAATACTTAAAATGTTATATATAAAAAAAAGATCGAAGGAAATATTATATATCATATACCCTCTCTGATGTCAAATATAAATAATAAAATTATTCGCATAAATATCAATTTTAAATATTTAATTTAGTATTTTTTTTAACAATATTATTCCTAACAAATTTCATTTAATTGAGCCTTTTTATTATCAATAACTCATTTTCCTTCTTAATATTGATTTTCAATGAAAATAAAAAGAAAGGTTTATTTTTTTGAACAAGATGCGTGCAGTTAAATATGATACAAATTAACTTTTTTTTAATTAATGTAAATCAATTCTTTTTTATTTATGTATGAGATTCGCAGATTATGTATAAAATAATATCCATATATTATTATTTACTTTTATTATATTACTTATTATATTTCATTTTTTTTTATATAAAATCTATTGTGCATTGTGGTACAAATAATATTTATCTCTCTATTTGTTAAAAATATCAGTAAGTTGTTAATTCAAGGGATATCTTTATTTAAATAAAGTTTTAAATATGAGTTTTGTAAATTAAAAAAATTTAAATTTTTTTAATGAAGATTAGTTAGCAATGGAATTGGTGAATATTTTACAACAATGACAAAATTATATTTGTATAAAAAAATATATTTATAATAGATGGCTCTTAACTCACCTTACACAACAATAATGAGTTTGATCTGTCAAATAGTATAATGAACTATATAACATTTATGAATATATATGAACCACGATATAAATTCAATTCATTAAATTGGATCCACCTAAAATTTACTCAGGATATCCGGACTATCTCCACTTGCACCACAAACAAGTGACAAAATTAGCACACCGCCATTAATACAAGATGTGATGATTCAATGGCTGATCATTTTCTGAACAAGCATTGACCTGGAAGCTGATGCTTTCTGCAAATTGATATTTTTGAGAAACCGTGGCTGCTTGGTGGTGTGGTGCCCATTAGCTAGGTTCGTTAAAAGAAGAAATGACATTTTTCTATCTAATAAATGTTTTAATTACTTTTTATATATATATAACTATTGTATAGAACTACTAAAATTAACAGGAAGGATTAGGATAATACGTATATAAAAAATCTTAGATTTTACACCATTCGAATATTCAATTTGTCGAATTGACTGATTAGAGACTCTTTGTGCTAGGAGGATTGTGTATCTTTCTGATCTCTAATTTTTTTAGTAAGTTGAACAGTACATGCTTTATTGGTCTCTATCCCACCGAACAACTCAAACTTTAGGTTAGTCATTGGTGTATTGAGTGAGTTCTGGTAAAACTAATCAAGGTTGTGATTCCCGTAATTCTTGCGTAGATTTAATTACGATTATAAATGCGGTTCATAGGCTCATTACACAGAGAGATCCGCGCGTATTTAGGGGGAGGATCAAAGATCCGTATCACGTATATGGATCCCATATAAATAAGGAGAAAAGGGAATGGTGAAAGTCATGCTCTTCTCATTTTTGAATGTTCTAAGTCAGGATAATAGCTAGGTTCTTTTAAGGTTCACATCACTAAAGGTTCTCTAGCTGTTATCTCCTAGAACAATTCTTTTATTTTCTAGCTATATATTTGGAAGTTACTATGCTAAGTTGACTTACCATTTTACTTTGAATTTGTTATATTCTACTCTAGTGCAACCATTCGAGAAATATATCTGCTTGAGTCGTACATATTGTCTACCTAAATTCACGTGAACACAGACCACGCAAATTACGAAACTCATACACATTTGATATAAAAGCCTACACAACTGCACTATTCATGAAAAGTTAGTCCAAGCAAATAAACACGTACATAACCAAGGCATAAGTCAAAATAATTGCCAACCCAACATGAATCCGAATACAAAAACAAAAACACTGAATACACAAAAGCAAAGCCTAAAGTCAAAGTACTAGCTAAAACAAACGAGAGGGACGTCCCTAATCATCTTCGGGTGGATCAACTAGCTTTCCATCAACAACCTCCTTGAAATACCCCACACCACTCAAATTTATTCTAGCATGCAATATCCTCACTTGAGAGAGAGCTGCTTCAAACCCTTCAACAAATTTGTTGGCAGCATCAACCTTCGTAGCATGCACGCGACCTTTGGACTATGCTAGCTCTCCCTTCAATGACTTAGTCTCGGCCTCGAATATTTGGGTTGATTAAAAATCTTTTTCCTTAGCCATCTTCAATGCATCTACCTTAGTTAATAACTGCTTCTCAACTTCTTAAAGTTTGTTCTTTTCCTTTTCAAGGGCTCGACGCTTTTCTAGAAGCTTATCTCTCTTAGAAGTCACCCATTTCAGATCGGCTATATTGTTTCTATGTGCTTCTTCAAGTTGGGAAAGTTTCTTGGCCTGATGCTTTATTTCTCGGGCCATCTCACGAACCTTATCCTTATTCATTATGGAAAGCACGAATAGGTCATCGGTCAGAGACTAAATTCCCTTAACCACACTTTAAACCTTTAATTTCTCCAGGCAAGCCATGTCTTCCTCAAGCAAATCAGATGATCGAATATGGGTTGAGTGGTTAAACTTGGCATCCCAAAAGGACTTTTCTTGCCATGCTTTAGAGCCACGATCAACTGGATCCCAGTCATCACCCATTCTCGCGGAAATGGTCCGCTCAATGGATTCCACCTCCACATCTTGTGGTGTTGCCTTTTCCTGAACAAGATCAACCATGTTTCTCAGCCTCTCGGCAACGCTTCTTTGAGGTATCTACACTTCCCTTGTCCTTGACAGGGTGTGAGGTATTGGGAAAAACCCAAGTCCCACATCGACTAGAGATTAGGCAATTAAATAGTATATAAGTGGAAAGCAACCCTCATCATACAAGCCGGTTTTGTAGGGTTGAGTTAGGCTTAATCCACTATTCTAAGATGGTATCAGAGCTATCCTAGATTCTTAAAAATGGGCCACCCACCATTCATTGATACATGCACCATGGGCATGAGGGGGTGTATTTCAAGTCCCGCCAATCCTAGATCATTGAAAAAAGGACCACCTACCATTTATCCACGTACCAAGCCTAATAGTGCTGGACGTGAGGGGGGTGTATTGGGAAAAACCCAAGTCCCACATCGACTAGAGATTAGGCAATTAAATAGTATATAAGTGGAAAGCAACCCTCACCATACAAGCCGGTTTTGTAGGGTTGAGTTAGGCTTAATCCACTATTCTAAGATGAGGCACCAGCACCCGAGGCTTCATCCACAGCCACTCCAGTTGAGGTCTTCAACGCAGCAACCTGTTGCTTCCAGATTTTACTCAACTCTCGATTTGACATGCTCATTATATTTGTTGCACACAAGACATATCGTTAAAGGGTTGCATGACAAAGTAAATCTGCAAGCAATGTAACTTTATAACAAGTGTTGGATAATTACCTATATAAATCCTCAATTCCCTGGGTCTAAATTCTAAGTCTAGAAACTTGGTCGTATGGAACATAGTGTTCAACTTCTCTATTTTTTCGACATCTACTCGGTCGAATTCCGATAACTCATTAGCTTGCAAGTTCCCATAAACCTTAAGCATCTTACACCAATAGTGAGGGAACCCATCAAGCAGGGTTGGGTTATGACTAGGACATCGTATTCGAAAAAAAACAATTTTTAAAGTCCTTATAAGGTGATTGGAAGA